ACAGTTTGTGGATGTACTACAGTTTGTGGATGTACTACAGTTTGTGGATGTACTACAGTTTGTGGATGTACTACAGTTTGTGGATGTACTACAGGTTGTGGATGTACTACAGTTTGTGGATGTACCACAGTTTGTGGATGTACCACAGTTTGTGGATGTACTACAGTTTGTTGATGTAGTACAGTTTGTGGATGTACTACAGTTTGTGGATGTACTACAGTTGTGGATGTACTACAGTTTGTTGATGTAGTACAGTTTGTGGATGTACTACAGTTGTGGATGTACCACAGTTTGTGGATGTACTACAGTTTGTGGATGTACTACAGTAGTTTGGGACAATAAACCCTGTCTGTTTTCTCAGGAACGAAGAGGAAGAGCGAGCGTACTAGCAGCCAGGATGTAAAGAGGCTCCGCCCCTCATCAGGCCACACCCCCTCCAGATCATCTTCTTCCATTAAGAGGGGGCTGGGGTCGTCCTCTAAGAAGGCGTCCAGCCCTCGAAGCCACCACGTCACCAGCTACCACCATGGCTACTACGATGATCGAAAAGGTCGGCGTGGAGCCCGGGAGGGGCCTCGGACTCGTGGAGGGGAGGAGTCTCGGCGTCGGGAGTCTCATCGGAGCCTGGAGGGTCTTAGTCGGGTATGACTGCTCACAGTTACCACACATATGCTGTTACTGCTCAGGGTCTCAGCCAATCACACTGTACTTCCTGTTGTTTTCAGAAGCTGCGACGTGACGAGCGGCAGCCAAGCCCCGCCCGCCACAATAACAACCAGTCAGAGGAAGAGGCAGAGTACGGCTCAGATCAGGCGTCAGGCAGCTCCTCCCCCGCTGCATCCCACGAGGAGGAGGAGGAGGAACAGGAAGATGAGGAGGAAGATGAAGAGGAGGAGGGCATGGAGGAAGAGGAGGAGGATGGAGAAAAGGAAGAGGAGGAGGAGGAAGAGGAGGAATATGATGAGCGTCGTGGTGGTGGCGAGGGAAACGACTACGACACTCGGAGTGAGGCTGGAGATTCACGCTCCGCCTCCTCCGTTAGTTTCTCTGATGACGGCGAGTCGGTCCACTCAGGCTCCGCCTCTGAAGCTTCAGGTAACCATGGTGGCATGTCTTCTTCTTCCACACCAGACTTCTTAACCTTCTCCCATCAAACCTGTGCTTTTATTTTGAAAGGTTCAGAGAAGAAGCATGAGAAGTTGTCATCATCAGTTCGAGCTGTTCGAAAACGGATGGAGAGTAAGAAACTTTCCTTCCTGTTGTTCCACAAACATTTATGACTCGTGGTGGTTCTGATCCAGAAACTGTTGTTGTAGATCCCACCAACAAACTGCGTTACATCCTGCGAGACGCTCGCTTCTTCCTCATCAAGAGCAACAACCACGAGAACGTTTCTCTGGCTAAAGCCAAGGTACGCAGCCCTGAGCCCAGGTCCAGTCTCTGTTCAGTCCCTGGGTTTTCACTGGTCATCTGCACTTCTTTCTGTACTTTTTACTGGATCGACCTGAAGTTCCTGTATTTGATGTACTTCCTGTTCTTCCTGTACTTCCTGTTCTTCCTGTACTTCCTGTTCTTCCTGTACTTCCTGTACTTCCTGTTCTTCCAGTTCTTCCTGTACTTCCTGTTCTTCCTGTACTTCCTGTTCTTCCTGTACTTCCTGTTTTTCCTGTTCTTCCTGGACTTCCTGTTTTTCCTGTACTTCCTGTTCTTCCTGTACTTCCTGTATGCTGTGCGACCCTGTCCTTGTGATGAAGGTGATGTTTGATGTCTCTCTGATGTTCAGGGAGTTTGGTCGACGCTGCCGGTCAACGAGAAGAAGCTGAACGGTGCGTTCAAGTCGGCTCAGAGCGTAATCCTCATCTTCTCTGTGAGGGAGAGTGGCAAGTTTCAAGGTTTGTAAACATTTGTTGTTCTTCCTCATTTCCTCTGTCGCTCCTCTTCAGTTCCCTGACAGGTCTGTTTGTTTACTCTTCAGTTTCTGTTGTTTGTTTGTTTACTCTTCAGGTTTCTGTTGTTTGTTTGTTAACTCACATGTTTCTGTTGTTTGTTTGTTTACTCTTCAGGTTTCTGTTGTTTGTTTGTTTACTCACATGTTTCTGTTGTTTGTTTGTTTACTCTTCAGGTTTCTGTTGTTTGTTTGTTTACTCACATGTTTCTGTTGTTTGTTTGTTTACTCTTCAGGTTTCTGTTGTTTGTTTGTTTACTCACATGTTTCTGTTGTTTGTTTGTTTACTCTTCAGGTTTCTGTTGTTTGTTTGTTTACTCACATGTTTCTGTTGTTTGTTTGTTTACTCTTCAGGTTTCTGTTGTTTGTTTGTTTACTCACATGTTTCTGTTGTTTGTTTGTTTACTCTTCAG